GTACCAATTGGTGATAAGACAGAAAAATTTGATGTTGTTATTGTATATATTGATTGATCAAATAAAGGACCAGCAAAACTTACATTATAGAAAAAATCAGGAATATCATTTTGACATATTTGTGTAGAAGTTAAATTAATTATTAGAAATATAAATAGACAATGAATCAATAAATATCGATGTTTTACATCTGACTGAATCATTGCACATCTATAAATAAAACAAAAAAAGATCTTATTTTGCAAAAAAAAAAAAAAAATTGAATACAAATATGGTGGACGATGCCCTCCCTAGGTCGATTCGTATATGAATATATCTCGACCTTTATGTATAATATAGAACGAAAAAAAAAATTGCTTTCGTTCATCATTGTCCGTCCGGTCAAAGTTGCCGAGAGAAATAGAAGAAAAATAGACCTTGAAGAAGAAAAACAAAATTTTTCGATTGGCTCACTAATCATCGACCAGACACTACTCTACCAAAATATAGTTGAATATATTTGATAGGCGTGAATATTAATAATGAACATGATTGAATATAATCATTCGATAAATAAATTTAATATTAATATTCTATAGAAGACATTTAATAATTCTGTTCCTTTTTTTTTCTCTTTCTCTCTCTCTCGTGGCTTTTTTTCTTCTTCTCTCTACTTTGACATTTAATATATGGGAGATGACCGCAGTGATTGAAACGAACTGAACAATTATTCTTTTCTTTTCTGGTGTATATGAACCGCAAAGAAAAGAAAATCGACCACATCATTATACATACACGAAAAGAAAAAGACATGGACTTATACTTTTCGCATTTTCAAAGATGATGATGATGACAACGAAAAGAAGAGAAAAAAAAAAGGAGACTGTGATGCAAACAAAAAGTGTAAGAAGAAAGAGAGAGAGAGAGAGAGAGAGAGAGGGAATAAAAGCAATTGGCTCAGATTTCAAATATCCAAGTATCATTGATAAAATAAAGGTCGTTAAACATCTGGACGTTGAAGGTTAAGAAGAGTGATGCTTTCAAGAGAAAATCTAATCGAACTATTCACCCAAACAAATTTATACATATATATATACGAAAATTGAAAAAAAATTGATGTCCTTGCATCTTGAAAATTACATTTTCATGCCTTTTTTCTTCTCTTTTTTTTTTTACTCGATTTTGTCCACTCGAATATAATTTCAAGAGGTTGTACGCCTTTTTCGAAGATGAAAGTGTAATATATACATATATTTAATGTATACGAAATTGATTGTTACTGATCGTTGAATCGCGAAATATGAATAGAAAGACGAAAAAAAAAAAGAGAATTTGATAGGTGAGCACGTCCTTCCTGTTCATATACAATAATAATGGATGATGATAGTGAATGTGTAAATAGCATCTAGAATGTTAAGTAATAGGTACTGTTGAACGATATGCTTGTAAAAATGACAAACGTGAGAATAAATGAGGAGACTGTCTGTAATGTAAAAAAAAAAAAGTTCAATACACGAAACAATAAAAAAGAAAAAGTCCATTGTCTATTTTCAATTTTCTGATGAGTCTTAAATAATAGTACAATAGGAATAGTTTAATTATTGTAATCGATCTATTCGTTGATAGTTTTATAAGCTCACCTTTTTCTTTGTATAATAACATACAAATCGTATAGTTCTGTTTTTTTTTTTCTTCTTCGTTTATTTTATTGTTTCGTGATTCAACATACAATTCTATTGTCACCATCTGTGACGACATATTTTTTTTTTTCTCCTTTTTATGATTAACTTGGTAGACAGAGAGAAGGAGAAAAATGCAAGTATGCTTATGTATATGGGATATATATATAGACATAAAAAAAAAAAAGAAAGAATCAATTCAAGTCTTATTCCTTGAACGCTTCTTTCTTTTAGTCATTTTTTTTTCTTCTTTTATATCAAAGTAAAACAAAGTTTCTATGCTATCATAAAGAAGGTTATCAAATAAGTAAATATATATATATATGTATTGCTTCATTTATTTTATTTCAGATTGATGGTATTAAAATTTAAGCATTTTTGACATAAGAATATATATATATATATATAAACAAACACACTCTGTCAATCAATCATACATGTACAGTCAGTATACTTACTCGTTCTTAACAGGATGAGTTCATCTTAGTATTTGTGTCCGACTGTATTGTTATTGTTCAAGAGCATGATGGTCTCGCCCTATTCCCTATGTGTATGACTACTAATGAGCGACAGAGAGAGCGAAAGAGGGAGAGAGAGAAAGAAGAAAAAAAGCGAACAGAAACATTTCTTTATGTTCTCTATTCTCCTTCGTTATTAGACATAAAGTTCGAGTATAGGGCAATCTCTACTCTGAACGTTTATTGTACAATGTAAAGAAATAAAGAAGCGAAAAGAATGCAGTCAAGTGGACGGAGCCACCTCATTTACGGTTGCTAGCATTGGTACCGCTTGAGGCATGTGGTGACCTGTCACTATCAGATGAAAGCGAAGAGAATGAATTATTGTAAGCCATACATAATCACAAGACTGTCTAATCTTGATACAGTATAATTCTGATGACATGTATACAAAAAAAAAAAAGAAAGAAAGAAGGAAAGAACACGTATACATGTATTAAACGAACATAAATTCTAACAAGACTCTGTAATTATGCAAATGGACTTCAACTGAATCCACATGACAAATAAAATCTGTTTGCTTATAAAGATCACTTTTTTTTTTTATTATTAAAATGACATTTATTGACAAAAGAAAAAAGAAAATTGTTACTCTTGTTGAAGTGATTTTATTATTTAATGAATCTATATGTTTTTTAGGTAACTTTTTTTGCGTTAATTTTCTACGATTACGACTATGATATGAACGTGCAATTGTTAAATCATGTATTAACTTGGTGCTAATGTTATATTACATTCTATAGCTAGATGATCTTTTTCAACATCTGTCGGACGTTTATTTATTACATGGAAACGTTCGATTGCTTCATCACTAATTCGTTGACGTGCCTGTGGTGCGTAATAAATCATGAGAAGAATATTGATAACAGACAAGAAAAAAAAACTTACAGAAAACAACAATGGTAATGATCCGACTGAATATTGTTCTCATCGATATTTTGTTTGAGGAGTCTAAAAAAAAAAAAAAAGAAAATAATATTCAAAAAAAGCAAAAGATTTCTTATCAGAAGACTTATTTGACACAACGAAAGATAACAAAAGTATTATTTGATTGATAAGGCGTACTCTTTACGCATGATTGATAAATTAGATATGATGAAAGATCTATATAAAAAAGAAAATTAATAAAATTTTTAAATGAAATAAAACAAAAAGAGAAATTTACATGAATGAGATGGAATATAAAATAATTCATTTGAATATGAACAGGATGAGAAATACAATGAAGGTAATGAATAAACAGAATCATAGCAAGAAATATTTGTTGATGGAAAGTATTACATTATTGGAATTTTGATGAGAAGAAAAAAGAAAGTGATTATTCGAAAAATTTGTAATGTTTGTCTATATATACTTCAATATATATTGAAATAAATTAATAAGAAATATTGATTGATACAACAAAAGAAAAGCGATACGATCGTTTTAATTGATATAATATATCGCATTAATTAACTCTTTTTTTTTCGAATCAAATTTATCAATGAATTGAACATTGTGAAAAAAAAAGCAAACAACATAAAATAATAGTCAATATCTATTTCAAAATATTATTAACAAGTTATTTTGTTATCGTATTGAAATCTGTAATGATCGATGTTTTTTTATTATAGCAAAATGGATTTCAATCAAGATAAATTTTTGACAAGCTCGAATAAAGTAGAGATATATATTTAGAGTAAGCTTTTGTCGTACCTTGACTAGAGCTTGTGATCCCTGACGGGTTCTAATCTTTATCGTATCCTCTATATCTGAAGAGAAAATTAATTTCAGTTGAAGATATATGTATGTGAAATTATTTCTATTAATATTTATCTTTTTTTTTTTTTATGTGAATGATAATAAATGTTAGTTCGAGTGTATTGTATTAAAATATTCAAGAATAGTATAATTATAGTATTGTGTCCTAGTTTTTGTGCAAATTTTGTATGTGAAGGATAAAAAGTTTGAAATTTTGTGACCTAGAAAAATTTCAATTGATATTTGTATAAAATCTTAAGGTTTTGTTGATTTTTTTTTTTGTAGCAAAATTTCAAGGTTTTTGAAGTGTTTTTTGGGATTGCTTTGACTTTGTTCATACAGTTTTGTTGACATAAAAGAAAAAAAGAAATTTGAGATTTTGTATAAATATTGAGTTTCAATTTATACAGATCACAAATGTGAAACTCTGTTCCTTTCATACAGAAAAATTGTACAAAAAATTGTTTTGTTTGTTTTGTCATAATTTTGTTCGGTTTTTTTTTATGGGCATTGTATTATGTTATTTTTCTCTTGAGTTTTGATATTGTATGTTTTTCAATCAAATAGAATATATTATATCAAATATTGATTCTTATGAGATATTGCATGTTTTAATCAATGTGAGATGCAAAAATTTTCAATATACTTTTGTAGTTATGCACCAATACTTTGTTTGATTTTCATGTATTTGTTTTGAATCAATTTATGTTATAAGAGATTTTTTTATGAAGGAGAAGTTTTATTATTATAACCATGAAATAAAGAGACTGCTGTCTATTGCTAAAATTAAATATCGCTTGGGAGATTGAGTAAAGAATAGGTGAAGGATTTATTTCATGTAACTATTTGTTAACTAATTGTTCGATCGTAAGCTGATTATTATTGTATATTTAGAATAGATAAATTAATGTTTGCCAATATTTCATTGTCGATATCAACATTCTCTTAATAGTGATCAAATAAGATGAAACATTAAGAGGGATATTGCGTCTTTGTAATGATTAATTTTGATTCAAACAAAATATTATTTAATATCATCAACAGATTACAAAAAAAAATACCCATTTCTATATATATCAAGAGTAACATTTTATAACTGATTCATTTCGGATAAAACCTAAGGTTGAATATTAGTAACACCTACATGTATGTAATAAAATAAAAATGAATCATTCGGTAAGTTATTGGTACATATTGTTTGATTTGCTTGACTGATTTTTATATTTTATAAATATAAAGAAAATAGACAAGTTTGTCGACCTTTGTTATTGTTGATGTTAATATGAGAATATTTCGAAAATTAAAAAAACTTAGTTGTCTTCATGGATTAAAAGAAGATAATACATCACGTTCGTCGAATCATAGACATCGAGTAAGAGATAAAACTGTACCATCAAATATTCATTATGGTCAATTACCACGAAGTTTTGTTAATGCAGCTGATTTGGCTAGAGAAAAATCTGGTTATGATCCTATTCCAACTTTTCATCGTAGACCGGAATTAAGAAGTGAAGAAAATCTTAGAAATCAAAAGTTTGATGATGATTTTCCTTCATTTAAACGAAGTCAATCAAAATCTCGTGAACGAACATTTGATCATTCAGCACAAGATAGTTCATCTCAAAATTCTCTCCATAGTTCAGATGGTATTCCAGTTAAATTTCGTCGACGACCTGTACCACCTGAATCATTACGACCATCTAATTCATCACCATTTCTTTCTCAACAACATTCTGTACCTCCTTCTTCTAATATGAATTCTCAATTTCAACATCCAAAACAATTTCAACATCCACAACAATTTCAACATCCACAACAATTTCAGCATCCACAACAATTCCAACATCCACAACAATTTCAACATATGGCCAGATATCCACAACGAAACATGAGGATGCCTTCTCACGCTCAATTTTTTCCTCAAGTTCAACAATCATTTCATCCAATGGTGCATCCTAATGCAAATATGCAAGCTGGATTTATGAGACCACAACAACCAATATATCCATTCCATTGAATGCTCTTCTTTCTTACTTTTAGAAAAACTTGATTTAGTTTTTTTTTATATAAAAATTGAAATTATTTTATACTCAATTATTATTATTGAACAAAAAGAATTTAGATTAAATCTAATTAGTTGTGATCAATATCAGTAATCTATGGTGTGAAAGTCTTCGCATATAAAATATTCACTCATTTTTCAACTATTTAAAGATAGTTGGTTAGAATCAAATTTTTTCGTTCTTTCCAAATATGTGTTCAAAATTTTCTTCTGAGATAAAATTATCATCATTCTGTTTCAAAAGGTGTAAGCATAATCCTTGTAGAATTAAAATGTGAATCACAATGTAGCTGCATAGGCAGATTGTTTTATTCTATCTATTTTAGGACACACTTCTTCACCATCTTTCTCCAGAGATGCAATAAGGAAATAATTCATAGATTATAACGAATCATTATTAATACAGTCTATGATGCGAGGAGTTCCAAATTTTTACCTCTATACTTCAATATTCATTTTGGTATTCCGATTGAAATCAATTAAATCCAAAATCCGGAGCAATTTTTAATAGCTGAGCTTTCTAGAGCGAAGTTTGCTCTACAAAGCATTAAATTTACTTTTGCATGATAAATTTTTAAAAAACTTTGTATTTTTAAAAGCAATTTTCGAAAAAGAGCAACTTTTTTGACTAATGGCAACTTTCATAGAAACTAGCACTTTGGTGGAAAAAGGTTTCGCTTCATGCAATATCTCATTTTGTACAGAGTTCAATATTTTACAATAGCTATTCCAAGATACAAACTAAGGACTGCCCAAAAATCGCTATTGTGCTCCGTACCGGCACTGTTTTAAACTTTTTTTTCAGAAAATTTACTGAAAGTTGTTTAATCCTACCTGCGAAGGACAATCTGAACATATAGTTGGAAATAGCGAAAAACTTTAATGTCAGTTCTAACTAGTTGTCTTTTGGTGATCGAAAAATGAGCAAATATTTTGTGCTAAGACTTTCACGCTATAGGCTGTTGAATTTCGATTGATTTTAATGATCCAGTATTATGAGAAAAATGCAAAAAAATTTCATAGAATCTGTGAACTTTATATATTATTTATTTTCTTACTTATTGATATAAAATGCAATAAGTAGCGCATCCACTTTATAATATTTTTATGTGCATGATAACAGTACAGCATCCGATTTATCAACGTTTTTAAGTGACTTATGATCGTTTACACGCCTCTCTATATGACATGAAATAATAGTCATCGATAGGATTGCCAGATAAAAATTTTAAAAATCCGAGGTTTGACTAAAAGGTTTTTAAAGTTTCCAGTAATGCTTTCTGAAAATGTATAACAACGAGTCTTGTCTTCGTAGTACGAAAGTCTTCGATCAATACAAAATGCGCTTTTCACTGCTCTTTGAATTAATGATAACTCTGCTTGTTATCATAAGATTTCTGCTTATGAAATTCATCATCTGTTGTTTTTTTGTAAACAACGATAGAATCAGCATTTTCTTCATTGGTTGCTGCACTACAATATGATTAGCCATCGGTCATCCACACACGAATAGGGTTCGAACTTAAAAGTGAAGAAAGCTGAGTCTACCATTTAAAAGAGAACAATCAATAGTATTTGAAATGGAAGCGTTTCTATTCTTGATCAGCATGGGATACTCTGAGTATACGAAATCTTTCTTGGAATGGGCAACTCGAAAACTTGTGTAAATGATGGTTGTAGAATACATCGTCAAACAAGGATCGATCGCCAAAAGAAAAAACCTCTTCATCAGATACGAAGTATTTTTTCAACATATAATCTTCGTACAACTGTTAGATGTCTACAAACCAAGGCAATGTGTTCAGAAACCATTTCAATTTTTTGATGAAATTCCATCACGAAACTCGCTTAGTGTCTATTTTACTAGTGTATGTTGCTAATTCGCACAACAAAAATGATATTTTCAGATATATTGCATTACGAAATTTCATTAATATCTGAATTTTGCTTTGTTTTTAGACCATTAAGCGTTTTGTACTGTTTTCAGAAAGATTGAGAAAAAATTCTGTCCTTATATATATGCACTACAAAGAGTGCCCTATATGTTTGTATGATAGTAACATTAGTACAGTAATATTATCATATGAAAAACTTCAACGAAAACTATGCACCCTTATTTTTATATGAATAAGAAAAATTTTTGTTTCTACATTACAGTGCGTACTGCACTTAGCATTCAATTGAAATCAATTAATGATGAATTATAATTTCTGTTTTCGGCGATCAAACTCCATCTTATAATACTATTGCCAAATGATCAAAACGGTTTCGAGAAGGGAGAAAAGATATTGAAGATCAATGACGATTTTGTCGACCTGTAACTGAGAAAACATCTGAGAATATTGAAGAAATTGAATAGTTCCTTCGATTTCTCGGCTCAACAAATGATAAATACAACACTAGAATTCTTTGACACACATATCATACTGCAGACTACTGTACCAAACAATATTTATACAAAACAAACCTGATAAAATAGATTAAAATCAGTTATTTCTTGATTGAGCCGATTAAAAATTGATTTTCAGGTTTAAAGACAGATTTCATTTTATTTTAAACAATTCTAAATCACATAAACTGATCCTGAATGTCCAAAATATGCGAAACCTGAGTATGTTTTTTATGCACCGGCTGTGATGGTTGAGATTTTAAAAAAAAATTGCGGCTATGGGCGGCGGTGGCTCAACCATTCGGTTTACACCTCTAGTTATTGTCTATTCTAAGTCCATCAATGAACTTCTGCTACATAACAATATATTATGGGTCTAACAATTAAAAGCATAACTGTTTTTTCTCGAACTGAATTTTGTTAGAATTCCAAGTAATGAAAAAATTGATGGAACAGGTAGTGAAATTGAATGTAGATATCATCATAACCTTCACATTCTCTTTTGCTTTCACTCTCATTGATAGTCTTCTCAATTTGACGAGAACAAATTTCATACGGGACACAAGTATCATGAGATCCATAGTCATAAATTCAATTGTTAGATTTATAATATGTTGTTGTGTTATAGAAATTTTATTGATAGTATTAGAACAAAAGTCTTCACTCAAATACATATAACATTTGTATCACTTATTAAGCAAAATATACTAAGAATTAACATACAAATTACGTAACAGAAAAAAAACAGACAACAAACATAGTGATAATGAAAAATAAATGATTTTTTTTTTTTGTCTTTTATATCAATAACTATAAGATATAAAGAATGATTACAATATTTTCTTTTATTTATCATTTAAAGTAAAACAAACACTAAATCATTTTTAGTTCAATATAATATTTAATGTTTAACCAATAAAATTAATAACAACTAAATGTAAAATAATATGAGCAAAAACAAAATCAGCAAAAGCACGTTCAGGTGTAACATTAAATGTTGATCGATTAGTTGTATTTAATTGAATACGTAAACTTGCTAGAAAACAAAACAAATATTATTTCAAAAAAAAAAACTAAATTCTTACCAGCTAAAATAAAACAACCAACAGTTGAAATAAATCCTGAAAGAAATGAATTAAATGGAAATGTTCCAACAAGAAGACAATAAATAAATTGAATAATTCCCGTTAATAAAACATAAACTAAATATGCATCAATTAATTTTAATTTTTTTGGTGTACTTATTTGATATTCATCATTCAATTTACGTAATATTCCAATTACTTGTCCTAATTGACTCATTTTTTTTTTGAATTACAAAAATACAAATCTAAAAGTTGAACAAACCAAAAAGAATGAAGAAAAATTTATTTTCTATATGTCTTGTTTTTTTTTTTTTGCACAAAAATTTTAGCTAAAATAACAATTAGAGATTAAACATATAGATTTATTATTTTTTTTAAGAAGCCATTAATGGTATATTTCCAGTTTCTCCTGTCGTACTTTCCATTGTACTATTAATTGATGGTGATCCTACACTTGTCGATGATGTATGTGGAGTTGTTAAACATTGATATTTACCATCAAGACCAAGTTTCCATAAACTAACTTTATCAGCTGCAGCAACAGCAAGTATATCACCTGTTAATGACCAACTAACACTCCATACATCATTAAAATGTGTATCAATTTGTGTACAATCCCAATTTAATGATGAACGTGTATCACGTGTAAATACATAAACATGACCATCCTTTATAAAAACAAAGTTAATTTTTTTTTTTAATAATTTTATTTTCAATATTGAATAGAAAAGAAAAAATATCTTACTTGTGAACAACTAGCAATTTTATCTTTATAAAAACTAAATGTTGGTGCCCATGCAACATCTCGTACCCAATCATTATGTTGATCAAGATGTGCTTCTTCTACCCATCCATCATCTTGTTCTCTATAATAATAAAAAAAAATATTTTCTTTTTTCTATCTTTATAAAATAAAGATTTTATTTAATAATTTACTTCCATATACGAATTAAACAATCACATCCACCTGAAACAAAACGTTTAACAGATTCACCTGTTGTTCCTTGTACACCTGTATCATCACATGTTTGTGGTAAAACAGCTGGCGCCCAACTAAGTGCATTAACACCCGGCTAAAAAGAAAATCATATGATAAAAAAGAAGGACTATAAGTTTTTCGATGATTTTTCACCACAGAAAGGAATATATATAAACTTCTAGAGAGAGACTGTTTCAATCTAAAAAGGTATGCATTTGCCAAATTCTACTGCGTGTTGATGTATCGATAGGTTATGCCACCTATTGACATGTCAACAGTGGAGCCCATTAAGTCTAAAAATTTAAAACCTAGGACCGACCCGACTGGCCTCAAAATACTTGATAATGCATGCACTATTAGATAGATGAAGTCTTTCTCTACAAGCGTATAAATATTCCATTGTGTAGTGAAAATTTGATAGTTGCATTTACTAACGGGATGACAATCAGGAATTTTTTTAGTTGTCCATCGACCATCACCTAAAGAAAAAAAAAAGAACTTTTATTTTAAAGATTTTATAAGAAGTGAACTTATACCAGTAGAACTAATAATTGAAATTGAACCATCGGAACTTCCACATGCTAACATAAGACCATATTCATATGGAGCCCAAGAAACCGTATTAACTAAAATATTATTAAGATCAAAAAATGAACATAAACAATGTATAAGAATATATTCATTATCGATTTTTTCATAAATCAGACATCAAACTTATTCGATTAAGCTACAGATATAAAAACAGTATCATTCTGGAAAGTAGGTCACCTTTTAATGGCCGGGCTCAACTCAAAATGGTGCTATTGAAAAAAAAGTAGATTTACAAAAAAAGATTTTTAAATTATGAAACTCCACAATCATTGCAAAAAGTTTATTATCATAGTGATCAAGAGTTGAATAAGGTTGTGCAAAATCCATGTAAGAAATTTTGACGATAATTTAGAATAAGATAAAATCGAATTTTTTCTGTTTTCTTACATGAGGAATCATCCTGGAAAAAAAAAGAAATCAAATTCTGGTCGATTGAAAACCCTTTGGACTGTGCGACCTGCTATGATCATAGTCCATCACCATCTGATAGTTTTTCAAAATAAAAGATTCTGCAACTATGTTAATAAGAACATTATAAAAGTATAATATTTATTTACCAGATGATGTATGTCGATCATATTCGTATATAACTGTATATTGTGTACCACCACTCGTACTAGTTTGAGATGGTAGCCCTGTTGATGGTGTTTCTTTCCATATTAATACTTTCCTATCATAAGAACAAGACGCAAGTAAACTACCAAATGTTGGATGTGACCATGATAATTGCCAAACAGGACCATCATGTCTTTATATGAATAAAAAGATTTATTTATTTTTTATTTAAATAAGTGTTTTTTTTTTGTACCCTTTTAATTCAGCTATAAGACGTTGTTGATTATTTGATACATCAAATATTCTTATACTTTTATCCGATGAACATGTTGCTAAACGTATACCATAATAATCTAATTGAGCATCATGCTAGAAAATTTTATATTAGATTTTTCTTTCGTATTTTTATTACTTAAATATTACATACAATTAATTCTTCATGACCAGTATCAATTGCATTGATTTGAGTCTATAAAAAACAAAAATTTAACAATAGAAAAAAAAAACATTCTAAGATCTTTTCTTTACCATTTCGTTTGATAATAATAATAATTATTATTATTAATTAAAATTCAATCTAGAAAAAAGAAAATATTATTTTTTTGTTTTATTCCACATGATTATGTGGTCGATTAAAATAATTATAAATTTCTGTATGTAAATTACTAAATAGAAATGTTCCTAGAAAAACAGATGCAGCACCAATACAATGATATAATGTAAAATCATTTTGAAAATAAATTATTGAAAAAAGTAAACTAATAAATTTTCTTAATGTTAGTACTAATGTTACAATTAATGATGGACATTCTGTTGTTAATATAAACACAGATCGTATACAAAAATATTGTGTTAATACATTGCAAATTAAATAAGCCCACATAATTGGAATACCAATATTTGAAAATAGAGGTAACCAAGCTAAAAAAAACAAAATTAAAATTACAAAAACTTCGAATATCAATCAAAACGAAAAAACAAAAAAATTTTACTTGATCGATTAAATAATTGTACATGATGATAAATATCTTTACCAAAAAATGCAAATAATGGTAAAGGTAGAAAATGCTAGAATTCAAAAACAAAATATAACGAGAGAATTTGATTTTAATTTTTATTTACTAAATAAAAAAGTGCTTCTTCAGCATGTTTGCCATAGGTTGTATTTATTATTTCTTGATAAATACCCATCAATGACGAAACAAGTAAAGCAAAAATTAACATTCCAATACCTACAAAAAAATTTGATTAGATTAAAGCCGACGAAAAGATTTTGACTACAGAATGACTTGTAAAAAGAGTTTTTCTCTACAAATCTGCATATTAGGAAGCTGCGGGTTCAAGTTTTTTTTGGACCCCGACCCGAAAAAAAAATAAAACTTTGGATCCGACCAAGCGTGAATTTCATACTCAAATTCTCGATGTAAATTTTTATTCAGCTGAGTTTAACATATAATGATAGCTTTCATTGATTTACTTTAGCCGTATCAGGAGTTCTCGTTCTCAAGGAAAGAAAATGCTATTCTAAACTACGTTGTCTAGTAACGGGTATGCCGTAGTATGTTGTTGAGTATTAGTAGAATTAGAACGGTGAGCTCGATGTTTAGCCGTATTTATTTCCAATGTTTTTTACAAATATAAATACTAGTATTGTTTTGTGAAAAGTCACAATTAGATGATAATTCTTCAATATAAGTTTAAGTAAGACCTCAAACAAAGATAACATAACTTGTACTTTCATTCTGTATAAATTCATTTTTAGAATCTTTAAAAAAATGTCATACCAATAAGCCATTTTAAAAAATCAGGTTTAGTTTCATTTATATCCATATTTCTCGCTAATTTTTGTTTATTTAATGATTGACTAGATGCATATGTTGCCAAAAAAATTCCAAATGTAATTAAAAGTACTGCAAATATTTGACGTAATGGATATCTACAAATAATAAAAAAAACAAAACATAATGAATTATTATTCAATCATTATCTTTCTTTTTACCTTCTTTTCAATATAATCATGCCTAAGAAAAGATTTGAGATTAGTGAACCCTAAAAAAAAATGAATAATACAAGCTGTTATCACAATTTCTCCAGGTTTAAAATGTAAAACACGATGTAGCTGCAGAAGAAGATTGCTTTATTACTGAGATGTCAAAAAGGGGACACCACCTCCGTCGTATTCGACTGCAACGACGGCGAAAGTAGCGCCTTTGATTGACGTGCATACACTATGCGATAAAACTTGATAATATATACGCTATTGTACAGAGAAAGTCTTTCCCTATTAACCCTTCATATATTCCTCAAAACCTCATAATTGTCTTTAACTGTAGATATTATCCTTATTCTTTTTCTTCTCGGCGATATCTTCCAGGATTGTTTCGAATCAATTTCTTTTTAAATTTTCACAAAATTGATCTATTTTGTTCAACAAATATTGTCTCGTTGATTTTTAGTTTTAAAAATCAACAAGACAATATTTGTTGAACAATACAAATAAATTTATATAGAATTTCATGACGATTTAAAAAAAAACAATTGGTTCGAAACGATGAAAACGCTAGATATTAATGCAAAGCGTCCTTCTTTATGGTCTACCTAATTGCAATTGCTAATGTAAAACGAGCTGCTTTAAAACTTCAATGAGTCCTATGGCGACATATCAAGATTGTCAGTCGAAAACAGGAAAGTAATATCACTGTAAAGCTTGAACATTTGTCATAATGTGAGTCAATCTGAACTTTCATTCTTGTATTTCAACATTCCTCTTATGAGAAGACATATTGACAAGTGTCAAATCACTTTTGAGTCATCATAAATGAAAATATTATTAAAAAGTATTTTACCGATCGAAAGATCATATGTAATGGCATTGGTATATTAAAATTTAATGCATAATTATTAATAACATTAACCAAAAAAAACATCAATACTAATATCGCATAATTTCTATGGAAATAAAAGAATTTTATTTACAAGAAACAAGAATTCAATATGATTACTTGATCGGAACATGTCGTTGTACTGAACCCCATTTATAATAATTAATAAAACCTTCAATAGCAATAAAAAGAAATTGAGCAAATGTTACTATATTTCCACTTCCAGGATATGGTCTAAACGAAAAAAAAAAATTTTTTTTCATAGGTATAAAAATTTATTTAATTTTTTTATTTAACATACTTAATAATAAGTTCCAGAAATATAACATTTGAACAACAACCAAGAAAGATGAGAGCTATTGTTTGTAAAACACGATCCATCTTTTTATTGTCTGTCTATCGAATATATATATTATGGGTGACGTGGTTATTCTAAGTTTGAGTTTATTCACCAATGATATATAGATTGTCTAGAGGACACAAGAAATAAATTCATTGGTTTACAAGGCAAAAATAAGAGGAAATTGATAATCAATTCATTTATTTTTTTTTTTTGAAATATACATATATTAAGAAAAAATGAATTCGAAAAATTTCTTTGGTAAACATGCTGAACATCAAGATAACACAAGTTTAGGAAAATTACGTTCAAAATATTGGACAACAAAACAACTTGTTATTAAAAAACTTGGTCGAGAAGAAGATGAATTTGTTATTGCATCTGATGCTGATGTTGATGCTAAACTTGATTTACTTTATACAATAAAACAATCATGTCATGATTTACTTCGTGTATGTTGTTTTGTTTATATTTGAAATTCTCTAATATAAAATCAATTTTTTCTTATTATTTTAAAATAGATTATGGATAATTATCAAACAAATGTTCTTATTCTTTCACATGAAGAAACAGATATGGCTCGTTTTTTAAAAGATTATGCTCAAATGGATAAAACTCGAGCTGGAAAAATGATGGCAAGTGTATCAAAAGTTCTTGCCTATACAGCACATCAACGTTTAGCTTTACGTCAACCATTAATTCGTTTAAATAATGAAATTGAAACATTTCGTCATCGTGCCGTAACAGATACATTATCAACAGTTAAACGTATGGAAACAGCACGAACAGAATATCGTGGAAGTATTTTATGGTTAAAAGATGCATCAATGCAACTTGATCCTGAAAAACAATTAGAAAAATTTCGTCGTGTACAAAGTCAAGTAAAAGTAACAAAAACTGAATATGATCGATTAAAATTTGATGTTATTCAAAAAATTGATTTATTAACAGCTAGTCGATGGTTAGTAAAAATAAATATTTTCTAGATAGTTATTTAGAAAAAAAAAACGAAAAACTTATATCTTTTTGTTGTTTTCTTTTTTCTAGTAATATGTATTCACATGCATTAGCTACTTATCAAAAATCTTTACTTATTTTTTGGGAAAAAACATCAAAAACAATGAAAGCTGTTGCTGAATCATTTAAAGGTTATCAATATTATGAATTTACTGTTATTAAAAATCTTGCTGAACCAAGTCGATTATTAGCTGAAATGAATTCAAAATCATCTATTAATAAATCAAAAGAAAAAGATAATGATACACTTATTAATATTAATGAAACAAAAAATAATCAAATACAAGAACAAACTATTTCAATTGATAATAATCAAAAAGAAATATTCGATTTAACAGAACCTGTCAATGCATTAATTGATATATCTGATGATCAACTTGATGATCAACTTCTTGAATTAGAAAAATTAACAACAATTGATCGTAATATATTAAAATCAACAAATTCTAAAAAAACATCAAATAATAGTGAAAATCTTGTTGAATTATCAACAACAACTACTGAAAATGAAAAATTATTTTCTGATCTTCTCTCACCTATCTCATCTGGAAATACAACAAATGATCTTCTTGAAACTAATGAAAATACTAGTTTTGATGCTCATTGGACAGCAGCATTTGATAATAATTTAAATCAACAACAACAACAACAACAACAACCAATATCTAATATTCATCCAGATTCTACTCCATCAAATAATAATAGTTTTCTTCCATCAACACTTCTTAGTGAATTATTAAATTCCATGAATAAAGGTAACAAATCGACAGTTCAATCTTCATCAAAACCTATAATAACAACAAAACCTACAGAAAAATCAAATTGGTTAAATTTATTTGCTGAACTTGATCCATTACAAAATCCAGATGCTATTGGAAAATTAGCTGGAGATGAAGCTGACAGAAATTGTTAGATAAATTCTTCGACAAAAAAAAACGCCAATTATTCTCTCTAGTCATCAATCTCAAAGAACATATCAAATAAAAATATCAATTTAAATGATCTGAATGAAAAAACAAAACAATGATATTAATTTCTTGTAAATGTATGTTTTGCTTCAAAAACATTTTATTTATTTTATTGTCTTGTGTATTAATGTATTCTATTCATTTAGCCGTTTTTTATTGTCTTATTATTTTTAATGTTAAAAAATATTTATCTTGAAAATTTACTTTTCTGAAGAAAACAAATAATATCAAGCATATGTTGTCAGTTCAAACAATCCTATTATAAGATCTTGACACAACTATGTGCTTTAAAAAAATTATTTTTATTAAATTTGATCTTTAAAATGATCTGAAATAAATAATTCGAGTTAAGAAAAACATAATTTTGTTAAATTGATCGTTAGAATGAACTAAACGCCTCCTCGCAATAGAAAACCTCTTCCCATACTAAAAGATCGCCTTTGAAGAATGATATGTCGGACGCAGTACAAGAACTTCTTTAATTAACTGATTTCTTGAAAAATTGAAATTCTAATTAGAATATTTACAGTCATTTTTGTCTAGTTATCGAGCTGAAAAATCAGTTGTTGAATCTGTAAAACCACTTTACATTTCTAAAAAAACCTTTTTAATACAGAAATTATGATAATACATTGGTTACAATAGAAGCTCCTGCTTAAAAATTTTGTACACTTCGACATGATAGAACACCCAGAGTCCCCTATTGCAGAAAGGGATTTAAAATACAAAAAAATTAAACAAAAGGAAATCTACTCCTATTTAATCAAGTTCATTAAACGAAAACATATTTAATCGCTCTAATATTTATTTAAATGCACAAAACTAATTGTGCAAGTAAGATCTAAAATTATAATCGTATAAGATCTTACAAGATTCTTACGACATCAGCAAGTCTTATACGATCTTCTTAAGATATTCCAAGCAGATTCAAACTGACAAACAATTATCCATGGCATGCAAATCGTGATTCTTCTGTTTGATTTATTTTTATACCTCACTGAATCAATATTTTTAAACTCTTAGAAAAATGTTAAATTTCAGTCAAAATCGTGCTTGCCCATAACTGTGAGCTTGTTTACGCGGCACCCATATTCTTTGATGTATCCTATCAATTAGATCATTTAATGCAGAGAGTTCGTTCTTCTGCAGTTGTATCTATGATTAGTTGGATGAGACAAAACTAAATAATTTACTATAAAAATCTTTCAACAGAATCTGATATATCTACATCAGTTGTTCTTTAATCTCAATATCGTGTCTTCTTGATTGCGAACATTTTTCCTTAATTGAAAGAAAACAAAAAGTCCGCAATATGAAAACAAGCGGAAAACAGAGATAGTAAGATGATCAGTTTAGACAGCTCGATTTAAGAGAAATTAATATAGCATTTTATAATATAATTGAAGAGATTAGTAATGTAAAACAAAATTTTTTTAAATCTTTGCATCTAGAATAAAATCAATGCATGAATCATAAGACTCTATAATGGTTCGGATTGAATAAGACCAATCTCAATAACGTTCGATATGTCCTAGAAAAGTCACATCAATGGCAAATGAAAACAAAGCAAGAACATTTAAGTAGTCTTTTGAATCTTAATATTTATGAAAGAAAATTGCATTCTTTTTTATTAGCAATATATCAGGATATTCGATACAACTGACAAGAATGATCTTGATTATGAACCTAATAAAAATTAGCGATTCTAAGTAACAAAAAGAGCATCTAAATTTATTTATACATTTATGCAAAAAAAAAAATATTTCATGTATATATATATATATTTAAACCAAAATAATTTCAATATTTGATTGCTGACTTGTTATACCATAATAACTTAATCTATGTCGAGATTTAATATGTCGACCTTTATAATACAAACGAAATTTGCCATGTGGATGAAATAAATGTGTCAATTGAGATTTAATATATTTTACTTTACGATTATCATGTTCAGGTATATTCATTGTCATTGTTTTACCATCGGATTTACGAACTATTCGAAGTATTATTTGTCGTGATGATATTCCAGTTGCCATATATGTTTATTTAAATAAAGGACTCGATTTAAAATTGTTGTTTTTTGTTTCAAAATACCACTTGGTTCTTTCTTTTTCGTTGTTTCTATAATTTCATAAACAATTACACGTTTGTGTAAATACATCGTCATTCGTTTTTTCTTCTTCTACTCGTTTTTAACGACGAAAGAAAAAGAAGGAGAAATGTTTACCGACATAAAAGTTCTTGATCGTATGACATATGAAATTAATGATTAAACAGCTTCGAGTAAAAGTAAAATGTAAGGTAAAGAAAAAACCCTAATGATATTTTTCAGCTTCGTCATACAAAAAAAAACGAAAAGAACACGAAGCCAATTAACGACAACATATAGTCTGGGACAAAAGTTTAAGCAAAATTCGCTTTTCAGATTTTGTTTTTAACAGTTCTTTTTCATATTAAGAGATATGAATCTGATTCAAACGATGATATAGATAGTAAGAGAGGTCGGCTACATGATATATTATAGAACGAGACTCTGCCTGTCTAATATAGATTTTTCATAATTGAAATATTCTTTTTTTTTTTATGCACAAAAGTAGGTTCAAGTGCCTTCCAGTATTTCGCATTTTCTAACCAGGAGATTTCTGCTGAAATAAAAACAAAATATATCAATCGATAGAGAATTACACGTTCTATCAGTTTATAAAAAAGACTTTTTTCCAGAGTCGATCTTCATCCTCAAAACTTAGTTTTAGTGAGAATAATCAGCAAAAATGGAAAAAGTGAATTATATCCAACAAATTCCCTCTTATTATAATGTTTTATACACCATTGGAAAGAGCATTCAAAACTGAACAAAATATTATATTTGAAATTCGAATATCACTGGTTCTTCACGGCCACCTTATTGAAATAAAGCTTTGAGACACACAATTAGCTTCTTTTTTTTATTATTTTGATGGAAGAAAAATGCTGACTATTCTCACTAAAACTAAGTTTTAAGAATGAAGATCGACTCTGGAAAAAAATCTTTTTTTTTATAAACTGATAGAATACGAAATTCTCTATCGATTAACATATTTTATTTTTATTTTAGTAGAAATCTCCTAGTTAGAAAATGTGAAATACTGGAAGACACTTAAACTTACTTTTTGCATGACAAAAAAAATATTTCAATTATGAAAAATCTATATTAGACAGACAGAGTCTCATTCTATAATATATCATGTAGCCGATCTCTCTTACTATCTATATCATCATTTGAATCAGATCCATACTTCTTAATATGAAAAAGAACTGTTAAAAACAAAATCTGAAAAACCAATTTTACTTAAATTTTTGTTCTAGACTATAATGATCAACGATTGGTTCAATAATATAAAAAATATTATTGTACTAAAAATCGGTAATTTGATCATAATTGTAATATGTTATCAATTAGACTCTGTACCAAATGGCGTATACGTATTTTTTGAATTCTTGAATAAAAATAATGTGAATATGAGAAATCATTGATCATTTTTTTCACACTTATCAAAGAGTTTGATGTATGAATTTCTACTGTTTTTTTATTGTGAAAGTTTTGATGAATTTCCATTATTTTATACAAGAAAAAAGCTTGTCAAACTGTATAAAAAAGTAAATAAAAGCAAGATTAATACTATTGATAATAAGACTACTATCTAATATTTGTATAATAATACGAAATAAGGAATATAGTTTCAAGTTAGCTTGTAAAAAAATAATGAAGATCGTATGTATGTGTTGTTAACCATATTTTATCATTCTTTAGATACAACCTTTTTTTTTTCTTTTAGAGATTTTCTGTTGTACTAATAGTTTGATTTGTATTATCCGTAGTAAGTGTTTCAGATCTCCGAGGAACTGATGTTATATTAGAAACATGATTCAGTGTATATGTTGTTTGTGAGACGCGTGATAATTTACGTTGATTTTCGATCATAGCATCGAGAATTTCTTGACTAATAACGATCGAATGTCTTCTTCGTCCAGGAGTAGGAACAACATGAACGTCAACAGTTGATTGTATACGTCTCACCTTAAAGCCATGTTGGATCCAATGAAAGAGAGCATAAGCTAAAATAACTATAAAACCAACCATTGGTACTAAAAATGAAATACGAGTAGAATATGTATCAGCTATAGCACCTTGAATTGGTGGAAAGACAGCACCACCGGATAATCCCATAATAAGAATACCAGCTCCACGACGAGTATGATGACCAAGATTAGCTGTTCCCATAACAAATATAGTTGGAAACATAATTGATTCAAAAAAAAATAATACAATAAGAACAATAACAGCAGAAAAACCATGACCGGCAGATGTATAAGCTGACAGAGCAACACTAATTATTGAATAAATGAGAAGAATTAAGTCAGCTTGAAAGAAATGAGCCAATGCAGTACCAATAAAACGACCAACAGTGAACGTAATAAGTGCATATGATAAAAGATTTGATCCTTGTGAATCTGTCAAATCTGCATTTTCAGTAGCATAGTTGATAAAAAAAGAACCAACCGTAACCTAAATAATGATATTTTTTTTTCAGAATTGAAATACAATTGCTATAATAATTCAACTGAGGTGAAAAATTATGCTTAATACTATACATTGTATCTCAATATTTTAGTTGAACTCATTCAATAGGTCATTGTGATTAAGTAGCTCTATTAACAACTATCTTTATATTCTTAATATTGTTAAGATATTTGTTATTACCTGAGCACCAACATAACAAAATTGTGCTACAAATGCAAAAATCATATTGTATTGCTTCCATAATGGTTTGACTTCATTCGTAGTGCTAAAAGGATCTTCATCATCTGTATTAACTTCCGGTAATGTGGAAAAAATAAAGACAATAGCAACTAATACTGCAGCACAAGCAACAGCAATATAGACATATTTAACATTATCAAGATTATTAGCATTTTTGTCTGAAAAGAAGACTTTAGAAGCAATGAGAGGTCCAATGAATGATGCTACACCATTCCATGATTGACAAAATTGTAAACGCATAGAAGCTGATTTAGGATCACCAATAATTGTAGCATATGAATTGGCTGAAGTTTCTAATGTAGCAAGACCACAAGCAATAACAAAAGTACAAGCCATAAAACCTCCAAAAGCTTGTTTAGCATTATTTGGATTAGAAAAATGAGCTGTTGGCCAAAAAAAGATAGCACCTAAGGCGAAAAGACCTAAACCCAGGACAATAGTAATTTTGTAACCTTTACGTTTGAGTAGTTCGGCAGCAATTGGTGAAAAACAAAAGTAACCACCACCAAAATAGACAACTTGTAATCCAGTAGATTCAAGTTTTGTAATTTTGAGAACATTTTGAAAATGTTTATTTAAAACATCAAGAAGACCATATGAAAAACCCCAAAGAAAGAATAATGAAATGGCTAGACATAATGGAAATATAAGTTGACGACCTTTGAGATATGATCGATTGGATGTAGGTGGTGAAACGATTGCACCTCCAGCCATTTTAAATGATTCTTAATTCTATGAATTATTTTAAATCACTAAATGAAATAAAATAAAATTGTCAAAAGATAAAAATCGAGAGGTCTAATAATTAGAGTTAAATATCTAACTTTTATACCAGTCTATTAAATTCTTAATTCAAAAGACATAAATAATTTTTCAA